TTTCACTATTAGTAAATTGGGAGTTTTGATTTTTACGCTGAGTACACTTATAGTATCTTCGGCGTCGGCTTGTTACTGCTGTGAACTTTTCTTTTAAGCTATCTATAAACTGTTCGTTTGTTGTGTTGGGTTCCTCATAGCTAGAGTCTTTACTGTATTTATGTTTCATTCTTTCTATATGTGTGATTAAGTTTAAATTTCTATTTCCATTAATGTATTGTGTCATTCTGCCTATCTCTTTACGAATAATGTGTATCTTTCTATATAGCCGTTTCAGCCAGTTTGGTCTCTTGTCTACTGGTGAGTTTTGCTGTGGTTTTGAAGGTATTGCTTGGTTGTGTTCTTTAATTTTAGACCCGTTACAGAGAGCAGCTGTGTGAGCAGCACAATATACGAGAGCGTGTATTTTTAAGAAATCATCTTCGACTGACAAAGTATTTGATAACACTGTGTTATTTAAGTAGGCAATTATATAAGCTTTCTTTTTTGAGGTTTTCTGCTTTGGGATATAAGGTCGTTTTGTAGGATCGGTGTGTAAATATTTATTGTACGTATCTTCGAAAATTTTTGTATTTTTAATGTCAAGATTTTCGTCAGTATAAACTGTATTTATTGTTTCGTCCTGCAATACAGCGCTACCTACTTGTGTGTTATCTTGAGTATGTGGGTTTGCTTCATTTAGTTCGCTATTAGATTGTGGGTTATTGGGGTTTATAATTGTATACGTTGGTGTTGAATCGTTTTGTGTATTTTATATTGCTTATGTGTTCAGATTTTCTCTTATTTCTCGCTTTATTTCTTCTAACCTATCATCTGAGATGAGTCTATTGTGAATAATCACCCTGCGTTGGTCAGCAATGCGTTGTTCAGATATATGTGCAATACTAGGGAACGTCTGTGTTATAATAGAGTACAGTGGTTTGCGATAAGCGGATCTATTGGTTTCTACATCTGTTATTCTAAAGTATTCCCTTATAATTGCTTCATTTATGTCATCTGTCCACCTTAAACAGTTATTTGAAGTTCCGGTTTTGCGTGTGTGTCTTTCGGCTATAGGAGGTTGTGAATGAGCTCTTGTGTCTTGAATTATACTTTAGGGAGATACGACTATAGGTCCACCACTGCGGCAGAAAGTAAATAAATATTTAAAATATTAAATAAATTGTTTTAATTAAAATATAATACAATGTATAGACGGTAAAGACATTTATCATTGGAAATATTATGACAAGAGAAAACAAAAGTATTGACATATTGTATTGGAAGAAGAAAATACTAAAGAAAAGAGGTGAGCTAACTAATAGAGGTAGTAAAAAGTACGAATATGAGGAAGGTATAGAATAATGAAAGATATAAATAAATGAAACGTAGGTGAGCAGCCTACATCACCCCCCTCCAGAGACCGCCAAGGGCGATAAAAATCTTACTCGCCGTCCAGAACGAGTGGTGTATTCTTTCTGGGTTTCTGGAAGGGAATCTGTGTGATCGGATAGCATGAAGGCTGGTTTCAGTCGGTCTATGGAGACCGTCACCTCTCTGCCCTTCTGTAAAATCCTAAATGTTTTATTATCCCGGGCTAGAACTCTGTAAGGCCCTGAGTATGCCGGCTGTAGCGAACCACGTAATGCGTCTTCACGAAGGAAAACGTGATCAGTGGTTGCTAACTGCGTCTTCGAAGATCGGTCAGTAACGAACAGGCGACCAGAAGCGAACAAAGGGCAATCGTCAGTCGCCATTACCGACCGCCCCTGGAGTTTTCCGCCTTGTAGTCGCAGGGCTGGATGCACTTGTTGGCCTTTGCTCCAAATTTGTCATGGTACCAGCAAAATGGGGATCTTTGGTAGTTGGAAGCTGACCTTTTTGATTTGGACCGGTGAGAAATACGACTACGGGATCTACCTCTTGACCGAGACAATCTTTCTACCTTGTCCGCCAACTTTTCCATCTGCTTGGTCAGCGCAGCAATCTCCATGTTCGTATTACCGCCTGAGGTGCTCGACGTTGCGGTGACTGCTGCCGTTGAAGCAATTTGAACGCCGACGACGTCGTGAATTGCGTCTGCCAATTCAGCTAACTCGACTAGGCACATTTTGGATTGTGAAGCGGCTACAATAGCTTGCGTGCTGCTGGGCAGCCGACTCGTCCAGATAGTCCGCAGAAACTCCTCTGGAACACCTGGGCCTGCCAGATTCAGGAGATGGCGGTAAAACTGGGAAGGCTTGCGATCCCCCAGCTCTTCGTGCATGAGCAGCTGTTTAACCCTCTTCTCACGCGAAGCCGAAAGCCTTTTAATTAGTTCAGACTTAAGTTTATCATACTTCCCTGTAGTAGGAGGATAGGCGATGATATCCTCGACTTCGGACGCGTACTGGGAATCCAGATTGCCCGTGACGTAGAAAAATTTCGTTTCGTCGGTTCTTATGTTCGCCAACATAAACTGCGCCTCCATTTGGTTGAACCATAACTCTGGTTTTTCGGGGTAGAATGGTGGAATTCGAACTCCGACACGGAAACTTTCCGTAGTCATACCGCCGGCCGCAGCGTGGCACGCCGTTTTGTCTTCAGCCATAGTTTACGTGTTGTTCTCGGGGTCACCACTTTAGGGAGATACGAATATGAGGAAGGTATAGAATAATGAAAGATATAAATAAATGAAACGTAGGTGAGCAGCCTACAATACTATTACTTTGGAGGTCTGAACGGACCTCATTTTTTATAGACTCTAATATGTTTTTTTGGAAGTAATTTATTTGTTAAAATTGCCCTTTTCTGACCTCCTAGCCTTTGTTTAGAAACTTCTATTTGTGGAAATTTTTCTGTGAATTTGGAATGTAGTGGGTCTAAGTAACCACGGACTTTGGCATCTAAATATGAAACATAAAGGTAGGTGCGCCAGATGAACTCGTTCATTTCTCTTGTACATCTCAATCGCGCGCGAACTTGGCCAGTGGTGGGTGCAGGATTGTTGGCTTGTGCCTCCTGCACAACATCCACGGTTGCAGAGTTGATAGATGTAGGTGAAGGAATAGAGAAAGAGTCAGTATTGTAGTTTAGACAGGAGAGGGGAGAAGAGGGAAGTGAGGGAAATAGGGAAGTTGACCCGGTAGGAGCCCGCTGACTCAACTCACTACCACCGATGGTTCGTATGCTGAAACGCCCAGCATCGGCTTCAGGCGTGCCACGGCGATCGCCTCCGGGAAGCGGTCCTATACGTAATGTTTCCTTTGCTCTCGTCTCCATTTCGTCGATGGGTTACTATTGCCACGTTAGCCGTCCAGTAATATTATTTGTGCGTTGCCCGCCCCCTACGTGATCTGATGTTCGATCGGGCCATGTGGTTAGATTTCAGGGGGCTTATTATTATTATGTATGTCTTTACCATTCACGGTACCACAGGGTCCCGGTCATTTAGGAGGCGTACGAGGGGCCGAAGCCACCTGCGCAGAGGCCCTTTAGACAACTTTAATCTAAATGTAATGGACACACAAACCGGCGACTATCCCTGTATGTACTA